TATGGAGCTAGCAATGTGATGTTTAGTATCGAGGTTGTGGCTATAGTGATAGTTACTTTACAGCTAGATTTCTTAACCCAATATGGTATGTAACCGGCTTTCTTTTGGGCCACCAACCAGCTCCCAAATCATGACGCCGAGACTTCTTTTTTTTAAATTAAATTTTTCATTTGTTTTACATCCTGACTATGGTTTCCCTTCCTTCCTCTCCCTTTTCCCCTCTGCCCCCCCCCCAACTCTTCCTTTCTGTTAAAAAAGGGGCATACCTCCCATGGGTGTCAACAAAGCATGGAATATCAAGTTGAGGTATGCTTTGCGCCTGACATGGAAACTTATTAGTTACAAATATCTGGCCTTATTTTATGCTTGTCCCACTAGCTCTTATAACTCAAATGAACCTGTTTCTCTTCATCTACATTTTGCCTCGGGACTTTTTACCTTTCCTTCACTCTGTGTGCTTTACTCTGGCTGGTGGCTGCCTGTCTAGCTGGCCCTGGGCATCTCCCTTCTTTTTCCTGCATTCTCTTCTCATACCCCTCCAACCCCTTTCTCTAGCCTGGATTCCTCCCCCTACTTATTCCCTCTGACTGCCAGCCCTGCCTGTCCCTCTACTGCCTAGCTACTGGTCGTTCAGCTTTTTATTAGACCCATCAGGTGTCTTAGGTAGGCAAGGTAAAATAGCAACACATTTTTAAAAAAGATTTATTTATTATGTATACAGTGTTCTGCCTGCATATATGCATACACACCAGAAGAGGGCATAGAAGATCTCATCATAGATGGTTGGGAGCCACCATGTAGTTGCTGGGAATTGAACTCAGGACCTCTGGAGGAGCAGCCAGTGGTCTTAACCTCTGAGTCATCTCTGCAGCTCCCCAGCAACACATCTTAACATAATTAAATAAATGAATCATAAACAAATGTAACACACCTTTACACTTTAATTGTAATACTCCACAACATAAACAAATGTAACACATCTTTACAGAGTTAAAGTAATATTCTACAACAATGGTGGTGTGTGTCTTCAATCCCAGCACATGGGAGGCAGAGGCAGGCAGACCTCTGTGAGTTTGCCTGGTCTATATAGCAAGTTCTGGGACAGCCAGGGCTATATTGTAAGACCCTGTCTCCAAAACGATAACAAAACCAAACAAAAATCCAAACATTCCCCCCAACCATATAGCTATGTTTCTTTCATAACAACAACAACAAAAAAACATAAACAAAACTGGTGGGAGAGCAGAAAGACAGCCAGTGTCTCCTCATTGCTATCCACCTTATTTTCTGAGACAGCGTCTCTCATTGGATCAGGAGCCCGCTGATTTGGCTAAACTTGTTCCCGGTGTTTGGATTACAAATGTGTCTCATCCAATGCCTGGAGTGGAGATCCAAATTCAGGTCCTTCTGCTTGCACAGCAGGCACTTGTCAACAGCGCCATCTCCAAAGCCCCCACAGCTGGATTTCTTATAATCAGCATGGTTCCCGTTCTGGCTAGTTTATTCATGGTTGTGGGAGAGCTGCCTTGTGCAATGTAGAATGCCTTCCCACATCTCTGGATTCTACTCACTAAATGGCCAAAATACTCTGTGGTGGTTTGAATGAGAATGGCCCTCATAGGCTTATATATCTATGTGCTTAGTCCCCATTTGGTGAGCTGTCAGGGAAGGATTAGTGGGTGTGGGCTTGTTGGAGGAGGTGTGCCACTGGGGGAAGGGGTTGGCTTTGAGGTTTCAAAAGCTCTGACCCGACCCAGTGTTTATCTGTTTCTTCCTGCTGCCTATGGATTAGAATATAAAGCTCTCAGCTCTGTTCCAGTGCCATGCCTGTTTCCCATCATGACTATGGACTAATCCTCTAAAACTGTTATCAAGCCCCCAATTAAATGCTTTAAAAAAAAAAAAGATAAGAATTGCCTTGGTTGTAGTGTCCCTTTATAGCAATAGAACAGTGACTAAGATACACACCCTTTCCCAAGTCAACAACAATCAAAGACACTGACTGCTAGGCCCTCCCAAGCCTTAGGTAGGAGAATTGTCACACATTTTAAGTCATCCTATGCTACATAGTGAGGCCAAGTCTCTAAAAAAAAACCCACACAAAAATGCTTTGTGGAACACAGTAAAGCCTTAGGTTCCCTTCCCACCACGTAGGGAAATAAAAATCTTTAAATATTTCAAAGTTTTCCTAGTGTAGCAAAATGGCCCTGGTTGGAAAGCTAAAACCTCCCCCCTTAGTTACACTTTTGTCTTACTAATCTGTCTTTCTCTCTCTGTCTGTCTCTCTCTCTCTCTGTCGTGCATCATTTCACTTTTCAGTTAAACATTTTTGGTTTTGATTTTTGGAGACTGAACCAGGCTTTGTACATGTTAGACACATGCTCTACTTATTGTGCAATAAAAATATTTTTATATCTCCAAAATTTCCATGGCAAACTGAGCATATTTCTTCAGCTGATCAACCAATGAAAATAGATCAAGCTTTTTGTAAACAGAAAGAACCAGGATTTGGGAATATAGCCAGGTGTGGCGGCAAGTGGTTGTAACCCCAGCCTTGGGGAAAGAAATAGGGTGACAGAGACAGGTCGGTTCCTGAAGATCATTAGCCAGTCAGCCTAGCCACACTGGTGAACTTCATTGATGGGCCAACTCTATCTCAAAAACATAAAGATAAAAGACCTGACACCATTCCCAGCTTCATGGACTATCACCTCCATGCACATAGTCACACTAAGCACATATAAAACACAACTCACCGCTGGGCAGTGATGGAGCACACCTTTAATCCCAGCACTTGGGAGGCAGAGGCAGGTGGATCTCTGTGAGTTTGAGACCAGCCTGGTCTACAGTTCGAGTTCTAGGACAGGCTCCATAGCTACTGAGAAACCCTGTCTCGAAAAACCAAAACCAAATGAAAACTAAACAAACAAACAAACAAAACCAACCAAAACAACAACAACAACCCCCACAATATTGTATAATTACTGTACTATCTGACTGTGACACTGTAACAGCTGTTGTAATTAAAACAAAGAGACTGGGAAAGACTGAAGAATCATATAGGCAGCTCAGGCTGCCTTTGAACTCCTGCTCCTCCTGCCTCCAACCTCCCGAATGCTGGGATTACAGGCTTGCACTACCACACAGACAGCTGGCACTGCTGGGTTAAATCTGTCAAACTGTAGTGAGACCATGTTTCAAAAGCTGGGAGGTGGAAGCCGAAGGAGCAGAAGTTCAAGGTCGTCCGTCTCTGACAACAACCAGGTCAAGGTACAAAGCAAAAACCCAGAAAAGATTTACAACGGGGCTGGAGAGATAGTTCAGTGGTTAAAAGTACAGGCTGCTCTACCAGAGGTTCTGAGTTCAATTCTCAGCAACTACATGGTGGCTCACAACCATCTGTAGTGAGATCTGGTGTCCTCTTCTAGCCTGTAGGCATACATACAGACAGAACACTATACACAATAAAGTCCATAAATCTTAAAAAAAAAAAAAGCTTAACAACAACAAGCTGAAACAAACCCAATCCCTTGCCTAAAACCTGGAGCAAACAAAACCCCTGCTCTCCCACCAACTCATTTTTTGCTGACATACCCAGTTTAAGGTCCCTATGGGAGCTTTATACATATATTTTTTTTTTGAGACAGGGTTTCTCTGTGTAGCTTTGGAGGCTGTCCTGGCACTCACTCTGAAGACCAGGCTGGCCTCGAACTCACAGACATCAGCCTGCCTCTGCCTCTGCCTCCCCAGTGCTGGGATTAAAGGCGTGAGCCACCAACGCCCGGCTTGAGCTTTACACTTCTTATCCTTGCCTGGAGTATCCTCCATTTTAAGGGTCACCTTGAAAGCCACCTTCCAGAATCCTTCCTCTAAATCCTAAATTCCCCATTCACTGCAAATGAGGATTTTTCGTCTCTTTCTCTTCCTTCCACAGAGTACCCATCGCTCCTTCACATGCTCGAAAGGCACAGGGCAGCAGAGATCCTGCCCGCTAAGAGACTCAGTTTTATTGCTGGAATCCCAACACTCGGGAGGCAGAGGCAGGCTGATCTCTCTGAGTTCGAGGCCTGTCAGGTCTGATATGGAGTGAGTTCTGGGACAGGCTCCAAAGCTACACAGACAAAAAGCTACACAGACAAACCCTGTCTCCAAAAAAAAAAAGCAAAAAAGTTTTATTAATTTACTGTGTGTACGAATGTGTGTGGATAGATGCGTGACACAATATGGAGGTCTGACGACAACTTGTGGGTGTTGGTTCTCTTCATTACTTGGTCCCTGGGATTGAATTCAGATAGGTTTGGCAGCAAGCACATTTATATGCTGAGCCATTTCACTGGCCTTAAACATACTTTTAAGTTATTGCTGTCACATTTTGAAAAATCTATCTATCTATCTATCTATCTATCTATCTATCTATCTATCTATCTATCTATCTATCTATCATCTCCCTACCTATAATCTATGTATCTGCTATTTATAGGTATTTAATAAATGTCTGTTTTATTGGGGATATAGAACTTAGTGGTAGAGCACTCGTCAAGCATGCATACATTCTGGATTAAATACTCAGTACCCTAGTAAGTAGGTAGGTAGCGATAGATAGATATACAGGTAGACACAGATTGAGCACCAGAAAGTAGGGAAAAGTATCACATGCAGAGAATATTTCTGGAAAGTGGCACAATATTTGCAAAGGTCCCGCGGGCTCGGGGTGGGGGTGGGGCAAGATTCCTTCCGTAGCCTACTAGTGTCCTGTGAATGAAACCTCACCTTCTTGAGTCCTGTACCAGGTAGGATTCAGCTGTGTCTGGGGCAGCATCCCACTCCACTTCTCTCATTTTCCCAGATCCCTGCTCCAGGCCCCGCCCCCGGGCGCGTCCCCACCCCCGACTCCGCCCAGACAACCCACTTTGTCTTACTATTGGGTAGTTCTGTCAGATTCGAATTCTGGTTGGCTGAAATGGCCATCAGTTAGTGGTGAAAGCCTTGATAACCCGTCCCGAGCTTCGAGGGGGCGGGCTCGGGTGCGGTGCGGGCGCGGCCAGGGCTTCGAAATCAGGTAAAGTCCTAACTTGCCGGGACACCCATGGGGTCTTAGAGGGGAAACTGAGGACACAAGTGTCTGGGAGGGGCGCGGTTCATTCAGCCCCTTTCCATGGGCAGTGTGCGCTGGGACGGGGTGGGTGCCCTGTCCTGTAATGGGAACCCCAGGTGAGTTAGAGCCTAGCTGGGAGGGGAGCCCTAGATCCAGCAGATCACAGCCACACGGCCACCCAGGACCCAACGGGGAGCTTGTGCGCACCGTAGTCTCCTATGTGCCCAAGGAACCCTTCTCCAGTGTTGGCTTGGGGACCTGGGGCTGGCTCTTTCGGGATGGGCATCTTGCAGGAGGGTGGGTGGAGGGAGGCGGGTGATACGGAAACGGTGTTGGAGGGAGGGACGGATGGCCCCCCGGACCCATAGACAATAGTAGCGGATGGAACCGCCCAGCGGCTTTTCCTGTAGGAAACTGCCCTGTCTTTTCGAAGCTGACCTGGGTTGTGTATGTTTGGGGAGGGGTGTGTGCGATGAACCAAGGGCCCCCTGCCCTACCTTCATCTACTCCCCACACACCATGAATCTGAGAATCCCGTCCCAACATTAAGGGGGTACCACCATATAGAGCCTTATGTCAGGAAGGCATACCCTCTTCAGGACCTCGGGTGCGCACGGCGTGTTCTGCCCCCCCATCCTTCAACTCCGCGTCCCGAAATAGCCCCAGGGGCGGGTGTGGGGGCGTGTGGCTTCAGCTCTGACGGCCTAATGAGGGGGTCTCAGGCAGGGGATCTGGATTTAGCTTTGACAGCCAGGCAGTGTGGGAGAGGAGGCAGCTACACGCCCCACTCCAGGAGGCACTGACTTGGGGAGCAGCCTAGGTGTGGGGTTTGCCCCACCACACTCCTTACTACCCCGTCAAAGACCCATGCTGGGCTGACTGGTGTTGGCTAGGAGGGTGATCAATAAGTGGCCCAGGTTCCCTGCCATTTCTGGGGAGGGGAAGGGAATCTTTCCAAAAGCGCCTGTAATCCCAGTTACAGGAGAGGTCACTAGGAGGATTGAAGACCTGCCTGGGAGCTACAGAGTGAGTTCAAGGCCTTCATGGGCAACTTAGTAAAGGGGTTTAGAGGTCAGCAAGATGGAATGACCAGTAAAGGTGCCTGATGCCATCCCTGACATTCCTGATCTGGATCCCAGGGATCTACATGGTGGAAGGAGAGAAGTGACCCCACAGAGTTGCCCTCTGACCTCCGGTTTCACCCGGTGGCATGTTTGCATTCCCCACCTCCTGCATAAAATAAATAAGATGTAAAGAGAAAAGGGCCAGTGGTGTAGCTCAGTGATAGAGAACTCACTTAGCATGTTTGAGCTCGAGGAGGGCTGGAGGGGTTGGGGGTCGGGGAGGCAATGAGAAAGGAAGAAAAGGCATTCCTTTGGGTGTGGCGGTGCATGCCTGAAATCCCGGCATGTGGGAGGCTGAAGCAGGAAAATTTGGAGTCAGAATAAATGAATAAATGCAGGCCCCCAGCGTGGTGGTGGTGGTGGTGGTGGTGGTGGTGGTGCATTGCTGAAATTGCCAGCACTCCAGAAGCCGAGGCAGGAGAATCTCTGTTAGTTGGAGGCTGTCCTGGTTTACATAGCAAGTTCCGTATCAGCTAGCAGTGCATAGTAAGGCCGTGTCTTAAATAAATACATAAACAATGAGCAAACAGGGCCAAGCTCTGTGAGTTCAAGGCCAGCCAGGTCTAGCTGCATAGTGAGACCTTGTCTCAAACACAAACAAAACAGAAAAAGTCCAAAACCTCTGGCAACCACAAAAACCGCAAACTTCCAAAACAAACAAAACTCGGAAGGAAATGAAATGGGGGTGATGAGATGACGGTTGTCAGAAACTTTTAGTTCAACCCTCGGGACTCACATGATCAAGAGAACTGGCTCTCACCAGCCTTCATATGTGTGTTGAGGCAGGAATGCCCTCCCTACCCCCCACCCTGAAAAACCAGCGCAAACAAGCAAACAAATAAATATTACAACGAAAAATGCAGTCAAGCATAGTGACCAATACAGGGATCTGAACAAGCTACACGGATCCAACCCTGCCATTGCCCATACGTGTCTTTTGGGATATAGCTTAATTGCTCTCCGCACCTCTATTTTTCTGTCTGTACAGTAGAGAGGAGTCAGTGATAATATGGGGAGCAGAAGGCTCAGGCTGATGTGCACACACTACTTAGAAGCAGCTGAGGGAAAAAAAGGAAAGCAGTGGGGCTGTGGCTCAGTTACTAGAGTGTTTGCTTAGCATGCGTGAAGCCTTGTGTCCCATCTCCAGGATTGCACAATCCAGGTGTGGTAAAGCACATCCCAGCACTCAGAAGGTAGAAGTAGGAGGGTCGAGTTCACAGTCACCCTCGACTACATAGGGAATCGGAAGTCAGCCCGGGCTTCCTGAGACCCTGTGTCAAAAACCAAACCAAGCCAAACAAAAAAACCAGTGGGCTGGAGAGATGGCTCAGTGGTTAAGATCGAGTACTACTCTTGCGGTTTGATTGAATCCCAGCATCTGTCAGTTGATAAGCTCATACCTGTGACTCCAGTTCCAGGGGATCTATAGCTTTTGGCCTCCCTGGGCAAATACCCACACACAGACACAAAATTTAAAAAACCTTAAAAAAAAAACCCCTAATTGAAAACAACTAGCAATAATCTTACTGTTATTTACCTTCCTGCTAATGTCCCCCTTAAGGTCTGGCTGTTCCAGCTGCTGTGGGTCTTAGAAATAACCTGCAACTAATTTCTCTGTCCCATAGCTTTGGATTTGGATATGGCCAGGCCACTGGAGGAGGGGGCAGACTGTACAGAGTCACACTCCAGCTTTGTGAAAGGCAGTTCCAGATCCCTGAGCCCTGGTCCAGGCCTTTTCTAAAACCCAATTCTTCCCTGGCAGTTTCCTGAAAACAAACCGTGAGAGGCACTGGCTGTCCTCCATGGTGACCTGCCGGCCTGCCCTTTCAGCCGGTGTGAGGGGACAGGAAACAGCTGCTTGGGGTGGGGATGGAGACTTCAGAGCCTTGGGTTGGACAAGGGGAGGGTGGAGAGAGGGGGCTCAGAGAGCAGTAGGGGATGCTTGAAGCAGTGGAGAGGGGGATGTGTTAGGCACGCTGATGGGTGCTGAACAGCTAGTAATGTCTGGCACTCAGTGGCCATCCAGAGTGCTAGAACCTGGAAAGAGTGGCTGGGTTCTTAGTTGGTTGGAGCAGAGTGGTGGTGAGCCAGAAGGTTTGGTCTGCCTGTTGGAAAATTTCGTGGGCAAAGGCTCCGCTGGGCACTATAAGCAAGGGATCCCCAGGAAGTGAACAGAGCTTAATCTGAAAGTGCCCCCCCCATAGGCAATAGATTTAATTGCTCTGTAAAATATTTTCTTGATTTTTTTTTTTTTGCAAAGACAGGGTTTCTTTGTGTAGCCTTGGCTGTCCTGAAACTAGCTCTGTAGACCAAGCTGACATTGAACTCAAAGAGATCTATCCAGATGCTCAGTAAAATGTGAACAGTAATAAATATATTTTGCAAAATTCTTTGGGGGCTAATCAGGGAGAGAATACAGTAGATGGCCAAGTTGAGCCAGTTTCTGGTTCTCTGAAGTCCCATCTTCCCATCATTTCTGCATGTGTGTGTGTGTTGTGGAGGGGGTGCTGGGCATTGAGGATTGAGCCCAGGTCCTTATGCATGCTATGCCAGTGCCAAGCCTTGAAGCCACACCCCTGTCCCCACCTTAATATGTTTTTGTTTTTCAACAGGGTCTTTCTATGTAGCTGTAGTTGTTCTGGAACTCACAGATACCTCTTGCTTCTGCTTCTGAGTGTTGCGATTTTTTTCCTTTTTTGTTGCTCCCTTCCTTAAAAATTTATTTTATGCATAGAAGTGTTTGTCTGTGTTTATGTATGTAAGTCCACATATGTGCCTGATGCCTAATGAGGATAGAAGAGGGCATTGGATCCACTGGAACTGGAGTTATAGGAAGTTGTGAGCCAGCATGTGAGTGCTGGGAACCAAACTTGGGTCCTCTGGAAGAGAAACAAATACTCTGAACTCTTCATCCCCTTTCTTTCTTCCTTTACCCATTTTTTTTTTGTTATATGTGTAAGTACCTGAGTGTACTTACACATGTTCTCAGTGGCCAGAAGACTGTTAGATCCCCTGGAACTGGAACTACAGGTGGTTGTGAGCTCTCCAGGGCTGGGGACTGAACATGGGTCAGTTGCAAGAACAGCAAGTGCTCTGAACTGCTGAGCCATCTCTCCAACCCCCTTTGCTGAGATAGGGTCTCATGTATTCCAGGCTGGCCTCAAGCTCTATGTAACTGAGGATGAGCTGAACTTCTGATCCTCCTGCTTCTATCTCCCGAGTGCTGGGGTGACAGGCATGCACTACTAGCCAGTAACCCAGGGCTTCATTTGTGCTAGACAAGTATTCTAACAAGTGAACTACATCTCCAGTCCATGAGTCATTCATTCATTCATTCATTCATTTTTTTTTTTGGTGTTGCTCCAATCAAATTAATGTCCTTGTGTATGCTAGCAAGTGCTATACCACCAAGCCAGATCCCTGCTTCCAGACCGGCACCTACTTAGCCTCCATTGTGTCTCCTGAAGAGTCACACTCTCTGAACTCCTCATGGATAGTCATAGCTTTGTCTTTTTAGGTGCTTGTGTTTCCATTATAAAGCCAAGAACAGAGACTTGTAGCCTTGTACTAGACACATTCCAGAGAGACAGGCCTTCCTGAGTTGTACCATTGAGCTATCTAGACTTACACCTTCCACCCATCATTTATAGAAGGGTTTTGCAAGTAACCTTGCTTAAAATTCAAATGACCACTTACATCCTCTTACCGTTTCTCTATGGAAAATGTAAGAAATTGGTGTGTGTTTCTGGGGGTTGAACCTACTACCTGGAGAATGCTCCCTAAGTAAGCATTTGGCCATTGAACTATATCCTCAGCTGTTTTCACTTTTTGAGACAGCAACTGTTTAGACAGACATCTGTCTAGGATGTTGCCTAGGCTAACCTTGTACTTGTTCTCCTCCCTTAAAGATAGGGTTACAGTTATGCAGCCCTGCCTATTCTGTAACTCACTGTGCAGACCAGGCTGGCCTAGAACTCACAGAGATCCACCTGCTAAGTGCTGGGATTGAAGGCGTGCACTTACATTTGGCTGGTACTTGTGACCCTCTAGTGTCAGCTCCCTAAGGTGTTGAGATTTTAAGCCTGAAATACTTCTGCTTTCTTAACTTTTCTCAGCTTGATGTCATTCTCGCTTCCTCCTTTCCAGGGTTACAACTTGGGTGTTCCTACTAGGTTCACTTCAAATTTCAGCTAAACATGGCGGCACAGAACTTGGGAGGCTGAGGCAGGACTATGATTTTGAGGCCAGCCTTAGCCATATAACAAGACCTTGTCTCAAAGCAAAAGTGGGAGAGCATTTGTGTAGCATGCACAAAGTCTTGGGTTCCATCTGTAGCGTTAGCATTTGCGAGGTTCCTGAAGAGAGGAGAGAGCCTGGGGGTGGGTGAGGTGCAAAGATGCACTTGGGGCTGTTTGCTCAAAGTTTCATCAGGTTCAAAACAAAAGGGACAGGCCTGGATTTACACCCTGACTTCTCTGGGGGACATTTTTCAGGCTGTCTGGTGGCTACTCCAGGAAACATGGCCAAGTTTGTCCTGAATCAGAACCTGCCTGGTGAGTGTACAAAATGGTCCCAGATCCACATTGTGTGTTTGTGTGTATTTATGGGTATAGCTCAGCAGTTCCCTGTTATTAACACAGTGGCCACATGGCCTTTCCCAAAAGCCTATTACCCAAAGCCATTGCTTTAAAACCCACTTATGACATGCCCCATAAATTTTGTTCCACTCCCCACGGTGGCCTAGAGGACCCCCACAGTGTGCCCTCTGCCCATCCTTTAGCTCTTCTCTCCCTCCCTCCTTTCACCATCCTGGAGAACCTGACTTCCATCCCCCTGTCACTCTTCAGTACCCACTCCCTTCCAGTGTCTTCCACGGGCCATTTTTCTTCTTGGAACCTTCTGCCCTTACAGCTGCTTCCTCCTTGTTATGAAGGGCTCAATCTTTTAAGTGTCCGCCACAGGAAATCTTTCCTGATATGAGAGGCAAACTTGGCTCCTGCAGTGGTTCTGCATTTCATAGTGTATTCTTGTCTTGAAACTCATTTGAAATGATTGTGTCTAATTATGGCTAACAAGAGGGCCCGGATATAGCCCTTTTCCCTACAGTGTCCCAAGTTTGTAAGTGTTTGGCACCTAGTGGGTGCTCAATAAATTGCATGCCCATGCGCGTGCAGATATGCCTGCAAGCCTCGGGTGTGGCCATGAGCAATGGCATCTGAACAGGTGCATCACTGGGGCAAGGGAGCGGGAGCACATTTCTTCATTCTCTTTGAGTGCTTCTTGGTTTGACCCCTCTTCCCTCTCCACGTCCTTGTTATACCACAGACCTGGGTGGCCCTCACCTGTACCCCGGCTCCAC